TCACTAGGATATTTTGTTATATCACTGCACGTGGCTCTTTAATGAACACAATTTGTACACTAATATTGATTTCTAATATTTTATTTATTGATTTTGATAGTCACATATTTATTTGCATATTTTGGATACATCCTAGATTGTAAGCTCAATGAGCAGGGCCCTCTGTTTCCTCTTGTACCAAATTGTATTGTAACTGTAATGTCTACCTTCATTTTGTAAAGCGCTGAGCAAACTGTTGGCACTATATAAATCCTGTATAATAATAATAAAAATATATGTTTCATGCGCTGCACTGTTTTGATTTACTTAGCCTTTGGTCAAACTTATGGCTGTGCTGAAAACAAAGCTCATTCTTAATAGAAAAACAGTTATGAACCTCTGCTTTAATGAATAAAGTCCCCTAGGATTTTAATGGCTTCTGCTTTTAACTACACAAAATGTAAATGGTTAATTGGTTTCAACAAAAAAGTTTAAACAGGTATGTCCTTGAGGGAATGACATTTGTGATGATGATGGTTCTATGGGGTTAAAGGCAAATGGAATGTGCACTTTGCAAATTGCAGTTGCACTCTGAAAGTGCATTTGCTCCAGAGCTTAATAAATGAGTTAAAGTTTTACTTTGCACATAATACCCAATCATGTGCAAGGAAAATGAAAAGAAAACATTTTTGCTTGCACGTGATGGGATGATGGAAGTTAGCAGAGCTTGCCCTGATTTACTAAGTTGTGGCGCAACTGCACTTGAAGATTGCAACTGCACTTTGAAAAATGCACAGTCTATTTGCCTTTAGTAAATCAACCCCAATGTATCCTACATTGCACTATGGATTATGTTCGAAGTACATTTAAATACTATTGTTTATTTCAAGGAATCATAACTTCAAAAATCATTATTTAAATGAGTTAAAGTTTCACTTTTGCAAATAATACCCAATCATGTGCAAGGGAAATGAAAAGAAAAACATGTTTGTTTGCACATGATTGGATGATGAAAGTTAGCAGAGCTTGCCCTGGTTTACTAAGTTGTGGAGCAACTGCACTCAGGGGCGGACTGACCATTTGGAAACTCAGTCACTGCCCAAGGGCCCGGGGTCAGTAGGGGGCCCCATGAGATGCTCCTGGTACCTTTTTCATAGGCTTTTTTGAGTTTGGGCAAACATACAAGCGTGTATAGCCTAATTGTAGGCAACAAAGGAGGTGAGCATACATCTTCACTAATTGGAGGATTCATAAAAAGTCACAAATTGAAGAGCAATAATCACCAAGTCACTATTATTGGACTTTTACTTTTATTGATGGGACTATTAATTATATTAAATTGATTTGATGATTTAATAATTTTTTTAATTGGTTATATATTTATATATTGTTTTTTAAGGGGAATCAAATTTTTTTGTTATTTAGGAGCGCAACATATAATGGTGAAATATTTTATGTACACAGTTGAAGTTATGTGTTTTATGTTGGCGATCCACTAGAGATAATTGCATTTGGCTCGCAAGTCACACAAATTCACATTTTGTCCTACATTGTACTATGGATTTTGTTCAAAGTATATTTAAATACTATTGATTATTTCAAGGAATCATAACTTCAAAAATCATTAATTCTCTTTTTTTCTCTCAAAAAATCTAGTACGTACAATATCTAACCAAAATCTAATCCACCCATGATATAAAGTGATAACCCCTAAGTACAAAAATGCTTAAAGTTTATTAACTTACCAGTATGCTGAACAGCAGCAATATAAACAGTGATAAAATAGAACATATGCTGCATCTTCCTTTTCCAGTGATTACACCACATTCCATTTAAGAGGGCCATCCTATAGAAAAAAAAGAAAGGAACCATTTATCAGTACACTTCTTTGACCAGAGTCGGACGTTTCTTCTCTGCCTAATGAAGTGTTTATGAAGTATTAACATTCTGACAGCTACAGCTCACTCACATTTATGACACTATTCATATTGCTCAAAGTGCTATTTGTTTTGAACACACTGCTTGTCAGTACAGCAAAATGTGCAACTGTTACACTCTGAAGCAAAATAATTTAACATCAGAAAAAAAGTATTAGGTTACATGCTTTTAGCAGATATTTTACGTCAACGTTTTAACAGATACCTCTTAGATTTACACTGAAGCATACATAAAAACAAATAACATATGTTTTTTACCATTTCTTATTTTCTTAGAAAAAAATGATATACGTGCCTGTATATATCTTTCTAGAATGGAAAACATTTAAAATGTCAGAAAGTTTCTAAGGCCTAGATAGCCCCTTTTTTTAAAGATTAAAATATTTCCTATACATCAGGGTTGTCCAACCTGTGGCCCAAGATGGCTACGAATGCTGCCCAACATTAAATTGTGTACTTACTGTCCCTAAAAAAATGTTGATTTTTTTAAAAACTTTTTTTGTGAAAAAGCATTTACATTTAGTGAAGAAAAATCTGACAGTTTCTTTACTATCTTCCAAAGGAAAATCTCTCACTCTTCACAATCACGCCTTATTCATGTCATCAGTTTTCAGCAGCAGCTATATTTGCAGGCAACTGATTTCAAGGATGAAGCACACAAAGGGGAAAATTAAAACCAAAATATCTGATGAGCACCTTGAGAATTCATTGAGAATTGCTACTATGGTGTCCGTTTATGAACCAGCAGTAATAGATCGCTGCTCAGTTCTCTGGACTTCTCGGAGAACACAGTTCTCCTGTGAATGCCGTTTATGAAGCATATGTAGATCAGTTCTCCAAACGAAGGGAGAACGGTCTACAAACGCTGGGAAACGCCTGATTTTACTATAATCTCGCGAGATTACAGTAAAAAATCAGTTTACTAAACAGAGGTAAATTATCTCTGCTTAGTTTGCGGTCCCTCCGATTCTCCAGCTCTGGGCTGGAGAATCTGGAGGGAGAACACAGATCTCCAGTGAAGAGCTGAACAGTTCTCCTGGGTGTCATAAACTGTGAATGACCAGGGAATAACTGTGATCCTCTGAATCGCAGCTATTCTGTGTGTCATAAACGGACACCTAAATCCATTGAACCAGATTTTTTGCGTTAGTTTATCAAAAACAGTGTCAAATATTGCAGTCGTTTTACGTTGCCTTCTTTTACTTTTATAATAAAAAGTATTACAAAAAAAAAAGAAGTTTTATTATTCAGATAATTACATTATCTATATCAATGATCATCAACTTGTGATCTACTGACTTTTTCTGCTCATTAGCTATTCTTATTTATAGTGTATTTTATGTGTGGCCCAAGACAATTCCTATTCTTCCAATGTGGCCCATGAAAGTCAAAAGGTTTGAAACCCCTGCTATGTGCCATCCATATGCCAAGTAACTTTTGTCCTATTTCTCAAGCACATTCATTCAACATTTTACTAAATTTTTTTTATTGCTGCATTCATCAGAATGAGATTGCTAGTGGCCCATATGGAAGAAAAATGTATTTGAAATATATTTTAAAAAATAAAAATATTATTCCCAAATATATTGACATATATTTGACTAAAATTTGGCCATATTCAATATATTTCAATAAAAAAAAAAAAATATATATATATATATATATACTGTATGTTGAAATGGTTTTTATTACAAAATATATGAAAAATATTTTTAAGAATACATTTCAAATATACTGTATGTCTTTTAAAAATACAAATCTACATTTTTGGAATGCATTTACAAATGTATGTAAAAATATATGTTAAAATGTAAAAAAAAATCTGAATATATTTAAAATATATACATATTTTAAATAATCTTTCTTCATAAATCTTGGCCAAAATGTATTCAGTTATCTTTTTAGTAAAAACAAAATAACCCAAATTAGTTTATAACCAAAAATTATAATTTTTTTAATTTTTTTTACATTTTTGTATTATCATTTATGTTTTTTTTACATACTGTCACCCTAGCAGTACAGTGTCACCATAGTGACACTGTACTACTTGTGGGGGGTGATGAAGAATTTTTTTTTTACACTGATTGCTTTTACACTCATAAAGGCTGTAAAAGCAATCATTCCTCCTGCTCTCTGGCTGCATTCTTGCAGCCATTGAGAAATTGTGGTGCTGCGCGTTCCCAGGGACCTCTGTGCACAAGCAGGGAAGTGGGGACAGGATGTGATCACTGATTTTATAAATGGCCACCTGTTCCGCCCTGCACTGTGCTCCTGTCCAGCCATTTATATACATGGGCCACATGGGCCAGGGAAGTGGTTAAGTAACTCATCTTTAAAGGGTGACTCTACTTTCATGGGGGAAAAAAATTGCAAATAAAAAAAAATAATATAGCATATACAATTGTGACACGTGTCATATTGTAATTGAATGTTATTAAAAATAACCTTTCCTTTTTAATCTGCATCTGTCATTTTCTGTAAAACGCAATACAATCTGGAGGTGTTCTGTACACAGAATATGTACAGAACGCCCCCAGCAACATCATTTCCTGCTTGTGTGGTTCACTGATTTTCCCAGAGGTTTGCACTAAGATACAAGTCAAATTTCAGGCATCCCTTGCAAAAAAAAAAAACATTTTTTGGTGAGTTACTCCCAATATGATATCACATCTAAAGGGATGCAGACCCTGCAATTTCCTCATTAAAGCCCTGCAGGTGCAGCAACTGACTGATAATTATAAGACCACCCCCATTAGATTCACTTTCCCCGTGCACAGATACAAACAAATAGTTTTCTTCAGAGTAACAAATGGTAGGACTTTTCAACAATGTTTGTTAAAACCCTTGCAATGTATACAGATCACCCAGAGGGAAATGTGTTTTTTCTCAACAAATGAGGAGTTACTCTTTAACCATTTGGTAACTGCGCTATAGCCGAATGACAGCTACAATGCGGTTACCCAGTTCTGGGAGGGCGTCAAATTATGCCCTCCCGAGCCCCCCCAGGGCATGAACCTGGCGATCTCCATGATTGCTGTGTCCTACAGACACAGTTGATCACATGATGAGGTAAAAGGCCAATCACCCAGCAGATCATGGAGTAAATACAGTTGCTGGTTATCAGCAGCACTTTCCTCACACTGTCACAGAGCAGATAGGCACTGATCACCAGGGCACTGATGATTAGTGCCCTAAAGATCAGTGCCCTGCAGTGCCGCCCAGCAGTGCCACCCACCAGTGCCCAGCAGTGCCACCCATCAGTGCCCCCCAGCAGTGCCACCCATCAGTGCTGCCCAGCAGTGCCACCCATCAGTGCCGCCCAGCCGTGCTGCCAGGCAGGGCTTTCAGTCAGTGCCGTTAGCCAGCACTGCCCGTCAGTGTCGCCCATCAGTGCCGCCTATCAGTGACCATCATTGCTGCATATCAGTGCAGCATCACCAGTGCCTCCTCCTCAACGCCCACCAGTGCCGCCTCATCAGTGCCACCTCATCAGTGCAGTCTATCAGTGTCCATCAGTGCTGCCTATCCATGCCACCTTATCAGTGCCCGTCAGTGCTGCCTATCAGTACTACCTATCAGTGCAGCTTCATCAACACACATCAGTGAAGGAGAAAAATTACCCAGTGAAGGAGAAAAAAACTTTTTTTTTATTTTTTGCTCTTTTTTTTGTTTATCGTGCAAAAAATAAAAAAAACCCAGTGGTGATACCACCAATAGAAAGCTCTATGTGTTTGGAAAAAAATTATAAAAATGTCATACGGGTACAATGTTGCATGACTGCGCAATTGTCATTCAAAGTCCGCAAGTGCTGAAAACTGAAAATTGGCCTGGTTTCGAAGGGAGTATAAGTGCCTGCTAGACAAGTGGTTAAGAAAGGATCAGCTCTGAGGTTTAAATAAATTACACTTCAGCTTTCGGAAGCCTTTTCCACAAGACCTCATTATGTAGCACTGTACTGCGATCTCCTCAAATCCTTCACCTTCACACATTCACTTACTTTGGCCTCCTCAGTACACGAAAGGAGCTTTAAACTCTTGATTAAATGGTATGGATGCAGGGGCGGACTGACAACTCATGGGGCCCCCGGGCAATAGGGGATCATGGGGCCCCTGTGTCCTTGCCCAAACTCAAAAAAGCCTATGAAAAAGGTACCAGGGGCATCTCATGGGGCCCCTACAGACCCCGGGCCCTCGGGCAGTGCCCGAGTTTCCAAATGGTCAGTCCGCCCCTGTATGGATGCCCTTATATGTTCCAGAGAATGATACCGTCCAACCCGGATAGCTACTGGAGGTGTGGGGGAGAAAAGGTTACAATATATCATGTATTCAAACCTGCTGGACAAATGTTTTTTTCTGTATTCTGCCAGGTCAGTTCATTTGTAATACCACAAACCCCTCAAATTGCATCATTAATGTCAGGAGTGTGTAGCTGTTCTATCAGGCTTCATTCACACTTGAGTGTAGCAAATTTGAGCGGTTTTTTACACTTTTTTGTGCACTATTTTTGCGTGATTTTGCGCTTCATACAGCGTTTTTTTTGGCATTTTTGAGCTTTGCTGTTTTTTTTATTAGCCAATAGAGAAAAACATCATTTGTTGCATCATTTGTTGCTAGGTTTTTCAGCATTTCCATCAGCTTTCACTTCCCTGTTTACTATTATACCTCCCTTTTTACTATTATTATCCATTTATTTGTTCTTTTTGGTAGGGTAAGAGGTTAGAGTTTAAGTGTTACTAAACCCAGGACCCTGCATTCACTATACAGTATCTGGCTTCCCAAACAACAAAAGAGAAAAGTTCCCAGCTCAACTTGCCAGCCAACTTGCAAACAAACCTAATTAACCTAAGAGTATGTGTTAAAAACAGGGGTTTAGTTAGCACACATTTGCAAATACATGCATAAGCTACAGAGCCTCATCACGGCACCCTGATATTCTGTAGTCCTAACTCTACAAATTTGGAGAGCCCCCATAGTAGAGGCACATGCATTAAAGTGGATAGAACAAGGGCAGGTGAACCTGAGGGAGCCCACCCCTCCTTAAAGGTACAGGAGCGCACTAGACACCCAGCACGTAGCACAATGGCAGCTAAGGTGTCCAGTGCGCCCCATCACTAACAATTCAACAGCGCATTTTTTGTACTTTTTTTTTTTATTATTTTTTTTGTCTTTGTATGGCTCTGCTGTCATTATGATAATAATTCTCTTCTTGGGTCCCAGAATGGTAACAGTTTTCATATTTGGGTCCTTGGATTGAAAAGTTTAGGATGCCCTGCCCTAGATGATAATCTGTATTATCTCCAATGTTTAAGTGGACCTCCCCCCCAACATAAAAAACTGTACTGTATGTAGAACAGCATGCAATGAAAGGTGGAAAAACACATTTGACTGTCACTTAGGCCCCATGTACACGGGATACTTCTGAACGATGGAAACTGACTGCTGGAAAACGTAGGTTAAAAAACGTCTGTTTAGCTGCGTTTGCATAATGCGTTTAGGTATGTTTGCGTTTAGACGCGTTTTTTAAAGATAAACACAGGAGAACCTCCCAAATGCCCAGAATGTACTGAAAAGTGGTAAATTATTAACTATTTCAGACTGTTTCAGAGAAATACAGAGAGTAGAAGCAGAGACAGCAGAATCTGTTAAGATTAGCTTAGGTGTGAGTTGCTCAGTAACATTTCTTTTGTTTCCAAGGGTGAAAAAGGTGTCTGATGGAGTGAGTCATTAAGGTCACCTGGCAGGTGGTATTCATGAGGAATTGAGGTGTGAATGGTCATTAACATATCTTTTGTTTCCAAGGGTGGGAGAGGTCAGAGGTGTAAATTGCTCATTACAATGTGTGACAAGTTTGGTAGGAACATCCTGTGTTCAGTGTTTTGTCCATCTGAGTACTTTGAAAACTCTTTGCATGCATTTTTCATGATGAAAAAAGGCTCTGGACAGCATCGGGAACTGGAAGAGTTAAAAAAAAATTGCAAACGCAAACGCTTATAAACGCAATTTGCCATGTTTAGCCACGGTTACAAGTATTTTGCATTTGAAATGCTGATAAAATTGACTGCTGAACACAAGTTTTCTGCATTCAAAAAAGATGTGTACATGGACACATAAAAAAACATTAGGGTGAGTTTAGGGGCTGCTGAAAAAAATGCTGAACAGCTCCTAAACGAGTTTATCAGCTGCTGTGTACATGAGCCCTTACATTAAACTAGATTGCAATTCCTTGTTTCTAGAGACACTGGAGATGTAGCCAAGACCTCAAAGACGCATATCTCACCCAGTGCCTCCCTGGGAAATCTCCTTCCTGGGAATTGTATACAATGCAAGATCTCACGAGATTTCTTGTTTACTCAAGTGATGCATGGTGTCACATGGACAATGTGCATCGTGGTTTACTGCAAAGAAAAAAAAAATAGAACACCAGTAATTTTTCTACATTGATGGTCCATTTAAAATGATTGGATTGCAGTACCAAATAATAAAGCTTATTGTTATGCACACATTACCACAATGCAAGAGCCCTGAAATGCTAAAATGTTATTGGTTTTTACAGTTTATGTATTTGAAGACATGCCAGTACACTTGGCTTTCCAATAAAGTTCACCTTCAGCCAAAATATTTTATGTCTTTTTAGACAAAGTAAGCATAGTTTAAAACCATTATAATTTTTGTTATAGCCACCTGGGTTCCTTTGTTGGGTAGAATTCCCCGTACTTTTTGTAAGGACGGTAAATAACGGGAAATCCCGTCACATTTTAGTGGAGAAGTGTTTAATTTCTGATGATGTTTTCATTGCTGTTTGTGCTTTCTTGTTCCAGTGACACTTTCTTGTTCTACTGTCACACAGGTGACTATAAAAAGCCTAATAAAATGCCATCTGAACTATATCCACTGAGCAATAAAGCTGGCAGCGACTCATACATGCTGTTATATCTTGCTGTTACATTTCTGTTTGAAAGAGAAAAACTGACCTTAAAAATTAAAATATAAGTAAACCCAATCAATACAAATTTTAACATATTAATATAATTTAAATAGTCTTGTAGTTTTAGTTTAGTCACTTTAAATCTTCAGCTTTCATTAAAGTGTTACTAAACCCACAACAGTAAAATCAGCTTGTATATGCAGTAAAGCATGCTTGTTATACTCACTATAGAACTTAAAGAGTTAATCCTCTGCATTGTGTAAAAAGGCCGTTTGATCCTGATTGCTCTGTTCCTCCCCTTGTTTAAGCCGCCACCTCTTATCGCCTGATAAGACAGACTGAACCATGGGCATTCTGCACATGCTCAGTTTGGTGTGTATTGCTAGAGAGTTTGTTTTTTTTTCTTCTGAGAGTGCATGTGATCAGGACAGGGCCAATCAGCACTGGCCAGATAGAGGTCAGGGGTTTTGCATCCTTCTAAAGCAGAAAGAAAGCTCTTCCTACAAGCATTAGCTAGTGCTTGGCTGAACACTGATAGAAGCCACAAGACTGCTCTAACATCTGATGAGAAAAGGTATTTAGCAGTTTATATTTACTAAAATAATTGCATTTCCATGTTGTGTGTACTGTGGGAGACCAGATACAGCAAATGCAGGGTCCTGGGTTTAGTAACACTTTAAAATAAAACCTAGTGATTCTGCCATGATGATCTTAGTTTTGACACTTCCTGCTATAGGGTGACAATTCTCTGTCTTTGCTCCCAACTGTTCTGCTGCATTCTCACCCTATCACACAGCTTCCAATAGAGACCACAAGGATCATTTCAAGACACACTAAGCAGACATGGTTAATTGTTGTCACCTTTAGCAGACGCACCCAGAGAAAAAACATGGAGCCATCTCTGGAGTGTGTGGATATAGAAAGGAAGTGGCTGCAAGATGGCTGCAGAAGTTGCACTTAGATGCAACAAAGGATGAACAAAAGCATGAAAACAGTTTTATGATATGCAGTGCTTTTATGATCAATTTTATTTAGTTAGGGGTTACTTCTGCTTTAACTTAACCCTTCATAAAAATGGGTACTAAAAGTGTTCCTTAAGTCCTTATATTGGCAATAAAGTGAAGGCACCTTAACTGAATATTAATTGATTTAGATTTTTTATTTATAATTTAATTAAACAAATAAAGCATTTTCTTGTGCAGCACAGTGGCTTCTTGATTAGCACTTCTGTCTGGCAGCACCAAGTTTGGTGGAATGCATCACAGTCACAGCACTGCCTTTTGGTGTTTACGTGTTCCCCCTGTGCAGCAATTTCCTCCCACACTTCAAAGACATGCTTATAGGTTAGTTGGCTCCTATCTAAATTGGCCCTAGTATGTGCAGACGTAGCACCCTCCTAGTATAGGATGCTAGGTAAATTTAGTTTGGCTCACTCTATAATGGGAGGAGCAAGGATTGGTTGCTTTGGTCTGTTCATGGTTTCAGAGGCTGAGTATTTGGTTG